GTTATTGTTATTGTTATTATTATTATTGTTATTGTTGTTGCTGTTGTTGTTGTTGTTGTTGTCTCTTCTCTGTGTCGCGTTTTTGTCAGACCCTGACACTAGTTAGTTAGAAAAAAAAAGGTGATAATGCTGGACCTACATGTGGTGTCGGTGGCCTAGTGGTTAGGCTCTCGGACTCGCAACTGTAAGGTCGTGGGTTCGAATCCCGTCAGGGGCCCGACGTTGTGTCCTTGGGAAAGGCACTTTACACGAATTTTCCTCACTTCACCCAGGTGGGAATGGGTACCCGGCTATAGACAACGAAAGATCTTGTCAGTTTGATAGTGTTTGAGCGCTTATTCAGCTGCTTGCACTGTAAGCTTCCCGGGAAGCTGAGAATGTTTCGGAGTGCCCTGTGGTCTGCTGGGGTAATAATATAATGTAAAGAGTATAGAGCCTGCTGTTTAGCGGGGATATGCGCTATACAAATGCTATCTATTATTATTATTATTATTATTATTTTACGTCGACTGTCGGTTTCAAGAACACCGTAAGCCACATTAAATCGTGTTTTTAAACCAGATCCAAAAAAGTACTAAATATTATAATTCAACACCATCTTTTGTCGGAAAGCAAGTCGTTTTCACGGGAACTTCAGGGATTTTTGCGGTATGTCTGTAGTGAGAAGTCATATTAGAATAAGTTAAGGAATTTGACACCAAAGTAACTGTTGTATGAGAGAACCCCCAAAAAAGGCTATTTATATGCCTGGGATATGTTTTTGTATTTAGTTGTTTGCTTTTGTTTGTTTTTTTGTTTGTTTTTTGTTTGTTTTTTGTTTGTTTGTTTGTTTTGTTTGGGTTTTTGTTTGTTTGTTTGTTTTGTTTGCAATGTTAGGATCGCTTTTCCAACTAATTTTTTGTCCACCATTTTTTTTGCGTGATTGCTTTTAGCTTTTACCATCGTAAATCAGAGTGTGTGTAATAACACAAACCAATAACAGGTGTTTTGATATACCATTCATTATGTAGTTTTAGAAGTTAGATATGTGGGGTACCTTGCTCTTCCAACATGCGCATAATTTTTTGCTTTGAATCGTGTGCTGCTTTTCGCTGTATTGGTGGTCTGTAGTTTATCTAGTATATGGTTTGTGCAATTCAATGTATCTGATACTGTTCAAAATCTTCATCAGTCTTTCTGAACCTCTCTTGGTCTGCAATTATTTATCGATATGTAGGTTATCCCATCTGTTCGTATAGCCGTCCATCCATTCATTCTTTCGTTCGTATGTGTATGTATGTAAGGTACTACATACGCACGCACACGCACGCACGCATGCATGTCCGTACACGTACATTTATTTGTATGTATGTATGTATGTATGTATGTATGTATGTATGTATGTATGTATGTCTGTCTGTCTGTCTGTCTGTCTGTCTGTCTGTCT